TTGGTAAACGGCTAGCAGCAGCATATTTAACGACTAACAGTACCGAATCTGCGTTTCACTGCACCACTGACTCCTGAAGTATAGAAATCAGTGGAGCCATGTATGTAGCAATTAAGAAGGGAGATCAAACTAACTAAGACGATTCTAAGCTTGTGAAGAGGGTATTCCAAATTACAGTGCTTTTAGGATGTGAAAGTGAACTTACCTTTGAGTTGTCTTCGTCCTTGGCCAGGAGGGTTCCCATATTGAAAGTGTACTTACTAACTGGACTTGGATGGCTAAAACCAAGGATTGGGGTGTTTGAATTTACGTTAAGGCAAATTAATGGACGCTTTTCTTAGGCCTAATACAACAGGTGCCATGCTATCATCTCTAACGCGTTTTACCGTTATTACATGGTTGGTAGTCAATGATAACTTACAGAATGAGGTAAAGTTGAGGAACTTAGCGGTAATTCATGTCTGTTACAAATTGTGTAACAGACGCCTGTTTCTATCTACAGCTGTTTTTATTAAAAACAAAACAATACGAATATCACGACAAGACAATGTGTTCTTTTCTACTATAAATATCACGAATTCCATACCCTGACAACCGATCCAAACAAATCATCGTTTAAATTCAAGAAGCTGCCAAAAATTACAATCATGAATCAAAATTGGCCACTTGAGTTATGAATTCAGTCAAATGGCTTACGTGGCATCAGCCGTTATGCAATTTTGGTAGTTGTCGCCCCAATAGACGCTTTCGCCGACAGCGAGAATGTGCGGGGAATCAAGTGTGGCATCACCGCCACTCATGATCTCAATTGAAGGTTCTCCATTCACGGCCGTGTTCAGTGGCACGGTGAACTCAAACTCAATGAGAGCTACCTCGCCCGGAAGAAGTGGTCTGTTGAGTGGTGTCCGTGTGAACACGTCAGTTACCCTTAGAGTCCAGCTTGATGGGTTTAATAAAGTGGGCTAATAAAGAAGATAAAATTTAAACGAAGAGGTATAACAAAGTGAAGTCCAAGTTATAAACTATGCTTAACATTGGGATGCATTCAGTGATTTTACTTCTGCCTCTTTGCCGTCTTTACTTGTTTTGAAGTCAGGTGTGTTACTTAATCCCGTGATCATTAACCCCACTAATGCATGGGCACTTCAATGAACAAGGTAAAGCAATTTTAAAGCCTCGCTTCATTGATTTGCTGTACGACTAAGAAGTCCTCGTGGTAGGTGGCTGATGGTCCAACAGGCGTTGAGAATTTGAATTGGTGTCACGAGTAGAGGAGACATGGATGTGTTGTCATTAACTTACGCATAGATATCACTTGTTGCCCATTCACTATTCTTCAAGGTCAGTTGATTACATTGTTTTGATAAAAGAAAGACGGATCATTTGAACCTCAGTTATTTAGACTGCCGTAATGAATGTGGCCTTAATCAAGCAAATAAGAGAGAGAGTATAGAAAGCACTAGATGAAAGTGCCATAGCGGTCTTTGTAAACAAGATTCCATAACACGCCCACACACACGAATAAAAGGTATTTATACACGTAAACATTGTGTCGACCCCCTTAGGCTGCCCTGTTGTAAAGCTCCTAATGTGGGTGCCACACCCCCAAACCGGGGCAAGAGGATGATTTTGTTGTCAAAGTTAGATCCGACTCGAGGCGCCCCAGAGAGTAACTAGAATAATTAAGTCGACGGAGACTTAACCGTTTATTGTGGTAGTAAAGAGGGGGTTGCAGGGGTGACGAGATGTCAGTTCAAATAATGGGTACGCTTGAGGTTTACTCCATGAACGAACATGGAGCGTGGAGTGAATTTACGCTCGATTATGCCAGGTGAGGGTATTTTGGAACGATTTTGAGTGCGTCTCTGTGAATGAGCTGCGCGCTACTTGATGTGTGCCTCCTTCTCTCGAAAAGCTCAGAATAGAGCGTGTTAATTCACATCTATGACCTCCGTCCACCTACTTCAAGTTCGAAGGTAAATTATGCATTCATACAAGCTGTGGTTTCCTTCTCTTTCCAGCCTTCCCCACTTTTTGCTGACTTATCACCATATTCGACCCGGAGTGAGCACAAGAAAACATGATTAAATTCATCGTTTTCGATCCTGGTGACCTTCTCAGGTAGGTGCATGGGGAAGGAGGGCTGACTAAAACTAGTGTGCATATCCTAAAAAACATATCACGTTTCTTTTAACATTTACAGAAATATTTCGACTAATCCTGACGCAAAAATCAATAATATTAATGTTGGTCCATTTGTACAGATAAAATCATACTTACCAGCAACAGAACTGTAGTCCGGCGGGGAGTAAACAATGCAGTGAAACTTTTTGAAGAAACCGTGCTTGTTTGAAGCAGGCAAGTCACACGTCCTTGACTGTTTGTTGCAGTTATGGCAAGAACAACGAACTCGGCTAAGAGCAGGTCACCGCTTTGTTGAGGAACTAAAACGAGTATTCACAGTCATGACTATTGTTATGAGGCATATGGTCGAAAGCAGGAATAGCAGTTTGCACATATATTAAAATGTTGCATGTATATTTCATGCCATCATGCATCCTTTGTTTTTGTTCAAATATACATTTTTCCAAGTATCTCTTGAGCGTCATTTGAGCTCACTTCTTGTTCTACACATTGCCTGATAAGTCCAACAACGGAATATGGCAAAATGCAAGTTAGAGGCACAAATAAGCCCATTGAGCTTGAAAAATGGTGAAACCAGTTGTTTTGGGCTTACCAGGACTAAGCACCTTGCCGAAATTGACCCTATTCCCTGAACACTCGCCGCGGTTGTTGTAGACGTTTGGATAAGCGAGGTTGAAACCAGCCGATTCATGAAACCTAAGTCTACTGGGCAGCATTTGATTTGAACTGACGTCTTTAGCATTGCACTCCAGTACGTAGTTGTTAAGTGTGCCGGCGAATGGAGTGATTGTAATGTAGAAAGTTCCGATTCCCCCTAGCTGGACGGACCCAACTGTACTAATGGAGACTGTCGCGGCTCCCATGGCTGGTGGCTAACGCCGTAAAAGAGATGAAAAAGGAGTTGTAACTTATACCAAGATTTATAGGCTGCTTTAACTTGCTTTCGTCTTTGGCACGGCTAACAATTTGTTTAATATATACGCAGTGCTAATGCTTGATGTTATGTGAAGTGAACAAAAGTAGTGGGCATTAATATTTGTTGCATACGTTTACTGCTTACAGTTTGTTGTTGAAAATAGCACATATGCGTTGTCGAATGTTCCGATTGTCCTCTTATTTGCGGATTCGTCATGTCATGCTTAGCTTAAGAAGCGTCGATTGTTAGCACAAAAAGAATGAGAACTAAAATTAACTGGCAGTCACTTCAAGTCGAATTCTTTCATTGTGATCTAACTTTACATAAAAGTTACCGCACAGTAATCACGACGCCTAATTAAATCACAGCTTAATTCCTCTAATAGAAACTGGTATTAGTAAGGGACTTAGTGAAACAGGTTAACGGGTGCTCAATTGTGTAGGTTCACTGGGCATGAAGAATGACTTGATATATTTTGGATGTTACCGAACTAATTCAATAGGATGCATCATGCGGAATACAAAATAAGATCACAATTTCCCTCGTAAATTTTTGTCCTTGCTTTGGCACGTGTTCATTAAACTCCATTTAGTCGGTGGATCTCAAATCGGCTAGTCGATACTTTTGCGAATTTAAACGGATAGGCATCAGAGCTGGTGTAGGCGGCAGAAATGTGTGCTTTGTAGTGCACACGAAAACCAGTTTCAACATAGAGGAATACGTCTTAAACTCGTTTTAAAGAAATCAGGCCTTATCAGCATCTACCAGCTCGTGCAGCCAACAACTCTGTGCTTGGCAGCTTCGCAGCCCCTTCAACCTGCACGTTTAAAACGGGTGGCATTTTAAAGCTCTTTGTCTGAAAATACAGGCCACAAAACCGTTGTAATTAGTTTTGAAATTGAATACTTCCAGATCAAACTCACAACGGATATGGAATCGCTGAAAACCAGGGTGACACTTTGAAAATATGTCTGGTCTTTGATCGAGGTTGCCAGGTTGATGGAACAATTGGATGGAGCAGTCGATGAAAACTGCAGGTAGAGGTGCCAACGTATTGCTGCATTTGATGCCGTCGACGTTATTCCTTGCTGTGACAACAACACCTCTCCACTATGCATTGCACAAAAACAATCCAATTAACTTCATAGCATCATGCACGTCAATAAATAAATCAGGGTAAATCGTAACAGCTCTCCTTTCTTTGGAGGCCATTTCTTCGTGGTCAGTCAAGGCAATCAGATTGATCGACATCTCATTCGTCGTTTAGGCCCATTGTTATCTCTACCGCTCACCAATCAAATTCGTTTCTAAGTGGTCTTCGTACAGTATAATATGGAGATCAGGAATGAGAACTAGGTACTTTACACGGGGAATTTAGTCACTTCATTCATCTGGTTTCTCAATACCACAAGCGTTCAATTTTTTCAGATTTTCGAGGAATTCACGGAGCAAATGTCCACGTTTAAATATGGAGCAAAGACATGCTGAAAATAGTCAGATTAGAGTTGAGCAGATGTTGACGAACTAGGGCGTTAGTTATCGCAAACAAAACAATCGGACTCGCTGCGGTAGTCAGGTTTCGCCAGGATAGTTCAACGCCATTTATGATTTCGTCATCGTCCACTCAACTTCCCTCATCCTCGCCACTCGATGCAGTCACCACATCTGCAGCACCCCGGAGTATGCGCCGGCTGTTTTAATCTCTTTATCCTCCAGGTCAAGGTCACTTGTTCCCATATGGAGATATCAAAAGCTCTCAGCAAGTCTTGGCTTTATCCTGTGCTGGGAATGTGGGCTTACGTTAGAAAAGGGTATCTGGAACTCGATCTCTGAGAGTATTTTTTTGGTTACGGACAAAAAAGTGACTGAACTACGGTCGTTTCTTGTGGTAATTATTTGTCGATCGTTTGTTCTGACAATTATTTGCCGAATGGTGTGTACCGTTGTATGGTACCCAAGAAATGTAGATTAATTGGAACTTAGGGACAAAGTTGTTCGCCACGTCATTTATCTGGGAAGTCTCAGCAAAGGAACCAAGTGTAAAAAATTCCCGATTGGCTGTTGACAGTCCTCGAG